CCTACATACCTACCTACATACCTACCTACATACCTACCTACATACCTGCCTACATACCTACATACCTGCCTACCTACATGGTTGAGTCACAGAGGCAACAGATGGTCCAGGAGGAAATCCACACATCTGACACTCTACAGCTCTTCGTGGGGGATCCTAGCATGTTCTAATCCTTGTTTTGGGTCTTTTCACAGGAGGCACCCTAAACAAACGCTTGAACCACCTCAGCTGACTGAAGTGTGGAGGAGCAGCAGCTCTACTTCTCACCTTAGCTTTGATGGTCCCAGCACACTCCAGCCAAATTTGAGAAATTGGTTCTCATAGACAAAGTTGTGTGATAAAAATCGTGCCATTTTTTTCTCAGAGTAACTTCTTTTGCTCCTTCTCAACACAAGGCCTGGGATCAATTTTTTCTCACAAATGTGTGTGCAATGTATTGCACGACTGGTCAGCAGTTGGTGGGTGTGTTTGATTATGCCAAAAAGCGCTTCGACAGCAATGTCGTCATTTCATTTCACCACTTCACTTCCAGAAGCTGGTTGTTGTGGTCATGATACCTGCTGTGATCATGTAAATGTGCACTTGTGCTTGGGACAAGTTGCCTGCAGAATACAACATCCATTACATTGTCATGTTTACATAAAGAATACACGCTACATGCTCCCAGACACTCTGTGTAATTGTGCTAAAAGTGGGATTTTTGTTTTTCTAGCTATCTTACAAGTTGTCTAATGAAATCTAAACTTAATTAAGATGCATGGTTTAGCCTGCACAATTTACTCCTAGTGTAATTAACTTTTCACAGTTGGTAGGTAAAGAATGTTTTGTATGGACATGGCCAAACACACACACACACACACACACACACACACACCCCTCACACACGCACACATTTTAAAATATGGTGGGGGTGAGATGGGGTTAAATACACAGGTCACTTGGCAGCTATACAACTCAAACGGCCTTTAACTAGACAGATGGAGGCAATTTTTCTTTGTATGTTTAAATTATTGCAGACAGATGGGTCAACAGGTTTACCTCTCATCCATTATTTTGTTAGAACTATTTTGGACAAACTTCTTAATTGTTTTAATTTTGTCAAATACGTACATAAACGTTAATCTAAAAAATACTCCCAGTCATAACTCATGAAGACCTCATTACTGATTCCTTGCCTCAAACGAGTCTGGAGAAGCTGTGAGAATGTCTCAAAAGAATGCATATCAGCTTTCTGCCCATGTTTTAAACTAGGATCATTTTGTGTTGAGCAATGACAAAGTTGAAACAGTTTTGGTCGAACCATGAAAAGAATATGTGTAATCTCATGAGTAGCATGTGTAGTAGTGAGAGGGTTGACTCTAAGAATTAATACTACAGTTTTAGGCAAAGGTCTTAGAGCAAAGAATAACAGAGTATATACGGTAGCGCACTCTAATTTACTACCACAAATTTTTGCAAATTATCTGTAAAACTGACTGAAGTATAGACATTTTGATATTATGCAAGGTCTTGTATATCTAATAATTTCTTCCTGAAAGTTTCAACAAAATCCACTGAGTGGTTCTTGAGATATCCCATCAACAGACAGACTTCTTGTTGTTAGAAAACAAATAAAAGCAAACAGTCCAATTTGTTAAATGTAATAGCAATTATTGTGAAAAGTTTCTGTTTAAAAGGGACTGCTGGCCATGGTTTGCTGCTTGGCTAAGTTGTGATCATTTCCAGCAACAGCATTATAATGACAGATCTTACAGTAAACAAAACACAGAGGGTCATCACTCTGCTGTCAGGTGCTTTCTGTGATACTCTTACCAGAACATCTGATCAATCATCTGTACAAGTACAAATAGAACAAACAGTACACCGATGTTCCCCGTCACTGAGGGATGTGAATGGTGTAGGTTTATAGTTTTTGAGATGCAGAAGATTTTCTGGAATTGAACAGAGAATGTAAGTAAACCTTGATGTTTTTGGTGCAATATATTTAAGTGGGTAAGAGTTATGCTGTAGAGAAGAACAGAGGCAGTTTTTTTTTCAACTTATTTATTTTTGGCTGTCCAAGGCAGCACAGAGTGACAGATCCAGGCGAGTGGAGGGAATAATTTTATCCACCCAGGAGGTGGCCAATGGTGGCCTTGGCCATCATAAGATTAATCTTTGGATCACCCCAATATTCTTTACTTTTAAGCAATATTAAAAATCAGAAAGTATATATATACTTCATATATATATATATATATATCTTTCTGTGTTCTCTGTCTGTCATCACAGAATGGTAAAGCATACTGAAAAGATCATTTTTCTTAAAGCTTTGACAGTTTCATGGTGGCAAGCATGAATGCATGATTGTGTAAGTTCTGTGCATGTTCATTTGTCTGTTAGCAAAACATTTTATGCACCGTTGAACAGATTTGAATGAAACCAAGGCTTAATTTGAGCCAGATCCTGCCGGAACAGGATCCAGAAACTCTCTTATTATGACAGTGTGCGTTCCGGTAACTGCTTGCTTAA